AAATTATAGTGCAGAACTCTTTGCCCATCAATGAAAGTTGCACTGTACCTTGCCACTTATTTCAACCTTGTTTCTTCAGTATTCGGAGCATAAAGGCATCTTCTGTTGTGCTAGAGACCTTCTAAAAGTTCAGTAGTTTTATTAACGTTTCCATGATCACAAGCATTTTACATTTTCACAGTTACTTGGTTTCACCTGAAGCTTGTTCAAGTTACTTTTATTTGCACGTTTTATTTCTTTGCTAGAGTACTAGGATCTGATGAACACATGGAAACAGATTCTGCTTTTAAATTACGGTGCTGGAAAGGCAGACCAACTTTCACAGGCTACAATGAATTTACTATAGATTTATACTGTGGTAACAGAATAGAGAGTGACCTTTGGCTTCTATAACACCATTTTTCCAATCTGTATTCACCTGGGAAGTTAGTTGCTTGTAACTCTGGTAGCAGATTATATAGGAAACCTTATTAACAAGTAGGACTTAGATTATAAACATTCACAGTTCAGAAAACTAAGTATTATTCCCCGTGAAACCCTAACACGGGCTTTTTACTACCCTTTTAACTTGCAGAAAGCAAAAGTTATTGCTCTTTTTCAGCAACAGTATTTTCCTGACTCCTGTATCTCCTTAAAACATTATGTTAAGCACTTGATGAATGACTACTTGTTCTGCAAGCAAATAAATGAAAAATAGGATGTTTTTTTAGTATGAAGGGACAAACTAAATAACGGAGAAAATGTCACATGAAAACTACCTCTAAAATAATTGAATGTACTTAAATATTGTTTTGTGTAGTGCACAGCTCTTTCTAAACAGACTGTATTCAGTCAATTTTTCCCCAAAGTTAAACCCACAAAACGTAAGTAAGATCAGGTCCAGAAAAAAAAAAAAAAAAAAAAGAGAGAAATCCCAAATAAGAAGAAAGACAAATTCTAATACAATTTGTTGATCATGTATGAGAATTATTCACATGCAAGCACGCATACCTAAAGGCTTTATTACAAGAACAAAATCAAATTGGACGCTATAGTAGACAGTATCCAGGATATTATGAATACACTGCTAATTAAAATTATATGTGAAGCTAAGGAATAGAATATTAGACACACAATACAGAAAATACAGTTAAAATAAAATAAAGACTAAGCCATTAACAACCTAAGCAAACATCTGAATTATGTAGCAACTGTTGGACAATATTCAGTGGGTTGCAGCAGAGAACTGATGTAAATTCAAACAAACTATTTCTCACAATGGCAAAATTGGAAGAGAATAGACTAAATCTGGCATGGTATTGCTTTTAGCCTGATTTTATTGATATTTACTAATTAGACAAAACTACATATTATATAAAAGTCATAAGAAAATAGCTATGGAAAATAAGCAGCTATACCAAATAACCTGTCTCTTCCTTTTTCATAAACTGCTATACCTAATCACCTTTCCTCTAAATTATTATTTCCAACTGAAGAGCAGCTAAATGAAAATGTTATATAATTTATGTGTTAGTACTAAAAGCAATACATCAGGGCTCCTGAGATTTACTAATATTAAGACATGTTAAAATTGTATTTCTTGCAGAGAGATTTAAGAGAGCTGTAAGAGTTGTGTCCTTTGCCAAAAACATTAGCATTCAGGTTAAACTCTCACTAGTGTGCTTAGCTCATTAAGACTGCTTTTTTCTAAGTGCACATAATGCTAGCAGCAAAACACAAGCCTGGACTCAACTGCATGAACATCACCACTGTCATGTTGTTACCCATTTCTTCCCTTTGCCTTAAAGCTGCACACAGATCACCTCCATGTACCTTTATTCTTTTCAGTCACATGCTCCTCTAATCCTTCAGTCAGTCAACAAATCTCACCTTTTCATTTCCATATTTTCTACCTTGCTTCTCAAACCATTCTGAGTGCCCTGAGCACTCAACACTGCACGCCAGGTACTACGTAACCCATTCACACCCCTCCTGGGGATTCACTGGTGTGGGTCTGATATAAGAAATAAAAGCCTCAGAAATAATAAACTACTAGCAAAACCAGAACTCTTTGAAGCAGCATCATCCTCCAAAGTTTCACAGGGACTCCTTGTCTGTGTTTTAGTATAAACTACAGATGCCTCTGGGATAGAACCAAGTAATTTATGACGTAATTAAAGAACAGTGGCATTATACTAATTCATTCTTCAAAGAGATATCCTAAGATAATGGTACATATCACTCAAATAAATCTTCAAACTATATGCTACCTATCAAAACCAGGTAACTGTCAGTTAAGGTAACTTCCCAGTACCGTGCTCACCAGTCACTCAATAATCTGGTCCACTCACATCTGTGTTTCACAAAATCAGCACAAGGCAGTTTAAGCATCTGATTTACAGGCATTTAAGGTAATACTGTTGGTATTTTCTTTAAACACTTTTAGTAACTGTTTTCACCCACTACAGGGTGCAGCAAACAGACTTCAGAAGTTAGCAGCCCAGATGCAAAGCAGGCTCAAAGTGTCTGCTGCAGACATCATGGGATTGTGCCACAACTATGAGGGGGGCACTACGGGGCTCCATCGCCAGCATCCACTGGAAAAGACACCCTCAGAAATCAGAAGCCTCAACCAGGACAGAGCTCTACACGGAGGGTGCTGCCACTCAGGACTCAGTCTGCAGGGTGACACTGTCCTCACAGCAGGAGATACGCTCTGGTTAGGACACCAAGTCACCAGCAAAAGGAGCTGCAGGAGGAAGTGAAAAGACTCGGCAGCATCACGGAGAACCAACTGAACACAAACAGGGTCACCTCAGGAACCTCGCAAAGGTTTCTGGAGGATGTTGGGGTAAATTTCTTCATGCACATACTACATGTGTCATGTGTTAGATCTACTACTCTCAGGAAGAAGGAAAAACTGGTTGGGGATATGATAATCAATGGCAACCTTGGCTGTAACAAGAATGAAACAGTAGAGTAGTGAAGGTAAGTAGCAGAATACAGGCCCTGGGCTTCAGGAAAAACTGGAGATCATCTCTGCAGAACAGGATGTGGGGGTTCTGGTGAGTATCAGGCAAAACATGAGTCAGCAGTGTACCCTGGTAGTGATGAAGACCAAGAGCATCAATATGATGTACTGGCTGTATCAACAGGAGCATAGCTAGTAGATAGAGAAAAGTGATTACTACCCTTTATTTAGCACTTGTTGGACCATATTTGGGCCACTCTGGAGACTTGAATACAAGACACTGATAATCTGGAGCAAGTTCAGTGGAGAGCCACCAGCATGGTAAGAGGCGGAGAACATGCTCTGAGAGAGGAGGCTGAGGGACATGGTGTTGCTTAGACTGAAGAGGAATATATAAGCAGCCCCCACAGTACCCATGGAGACGTGAGCCCCCAGTACCTGTGGAGCTCTTTACAGCAGTATATGACAAGAGAATGACAGATTACAGGCATAACTGAAAGAAGTTGTTCTGAATACGTATAAGGAAAAGATTCTTCGCTATGAGGATGACTTAACACTGGAACAAGTCATCTGGAGAGGGTCTGGAGTCTTTGTTCTTAGAGGTTTTCAAGACCTGGCTAGCTAAATACCTTAACAGCCCAGTCTGAATTCAGAGTGGACCCTGCTTTGAACAGGAAGATGGACTAGACACCTATTTAGGTCCCTTTTTACCTAATTGAATCGATCTGCAATTAGTCCTTCAGACCAGGAGTTTGCTTTTGAAACGGATCAGACTGTCCACACCTATGACACTTCAACTTGCGCTGCACAGTACTCTCAGACTACACAAAATAAATTCCTTTGGGATGAAATGAAACCAAAAGGTGTGCATCAGACATTAATGAGCAGCAGTCCATTGGACCAGGCCAGAGAAAGCCTGAAGCATTCCCCTTTGTCCAAAACATGTATCATGTGGATGCTAGGTACTCAGTACCCTTCTGCTTTACAGTTGCACTTCTATTGTGTCACACTACTTGCTGACGTAGACATTGCCATCTGAACAGTAACGTTTTTCCTTTTCAGCAGATGAAAAGGAACACTAGCATATAAACCCCAATTTTTTGGCTTTTTGATGTTGACAAACTTTGTCCAAGCATAGAAATGCATGTTACCTGCCTGCAAGACTGACCCTGTATATCCTCACTAGAGTTATGCAGAAGTCTTTTTGCCCTTCTTAAGGGTTCCTGCACATTCAAGGCAAGATCAACAAACAAAGCAGTGTTTTGCCCAACTCAGTTCCTCCTGCACTGGAGGATCCTAAATGGGAGAGGACAGCAATAAAGTGCTAGTCCACATCAAAGGCGGCAGGTGACTGGTCTGAGATGGTAGTAAGATGCAGTGTTTTGTAGGTCTCTGAACAAAGGCCCACAATAGCATCTCCAAAAACTTTCAACAAGGGAAAATGGCTGCCACTGCCAAGAAAGCCCCCTCTACCCATAGGAACAATTTAACCCTATTAACAGAGGGACACCATTTCCTCTGCAGTTCTCTTCAATATATAATTAAAACATGCAGACACCTCCTGTGAACTGCAGGTTTTTATTCTCTAAAAAAGGTAGGCACCAAGGGCTGATTATGCTAATGGAACTTTCTAAGGGGGAACAAGACGAGCCTCAAGAAGGTGCTTCCTCAAAGGAAGAGCACCCTTGAAGAACACCACTTCAAGAGCCATAGCTCCTTCCCTTTCGAAGGTTTACAAGATTACAAGATTTCTGAACCCAAAGCAGAAAACCACATAAACCAATGCAAATAATATTTTAATGTTAACAAACAAAATAAAACAAACACCACATTTTAAATGTCTAGCATTAACCTTAACTCACATTGAGAAATAAATGCACAGTCCTCAGAAAGTTTGAGTCTAGATTAATCTTTTACAGATTCGACCATACTCCATCTACTGCAACTTCAGGAAAAAAACCTAGCTGGTCAGTTGATTGCCATATCAACTATAAATCTACCCTCCCTTACAAAACTTTAAGGTAGATCTCTTTCTTACAAGGGAACTTACCAATGGCCTTTGTGTAATGCCTGGCTCCAAGTAACAGCTCTGGAGCTCTGTACCAGAATGTCACCACAACTGGATCCAAGTCTGCCAATGGCTTCAAAGGTGAGTTGAACAATCTTGCAAAACCCATATCAGCTGGAGGGGAGAAGGAAAAAAAGAACAAAAATAACATAATTTTAAAACAAATTAGAATTTAACAGTGTTGCCAAAAAGCAATTATAAGAAAAGCTCAAAACCATTAAAACTCACAAATCAAAGTTTCTAAGAAAGTAACAACTTACTCATAGCAATACTGGGTGATATTTATCTAAGGCTAAATTCCATTTGCTTCATTTGTAAGACTATGAAGGATGACGTTTAACTTAAAGTGTTTTCATCATGGTATTGTGAAAGTTTGCATAACATAGATGCCTGCTTATTTAATTAGAACTGTAACAGAAACCTGCTTAACTAAAGTCAATAGTAGTAGGTCTTTAGTGTGCATTTTTTCTTTTATTTTTATATATGTTTACAAAACTGTGGTCCTTGTGATTGCTATATAATTACCCAAAGTGCAAAACCAGAACAACTGCAGTGTAGATTGTTTTGCACTGTTCTTTCAAGGTATGCCTCCTACTTGATTTGGAAGAACAAACTTCAGAATCAGGGAAGTTTTTATCTGGCAATTAATGAAAACAGTGAGTGCACACTGTTACAGAGGTGTATTTTAAATGTAAGTATTGATTCTTCTGTAACTCACAAATTGACAGGACAGGGGGTTTAAATTGAAAGCGGCTAGAATGAGATTAGATATCAGAAAGCAATTCTTCCCAAAGAGGGTGGTGAGGCACTGGAACAGGTTGCCCAGAGAAGCTGTGGATGCCCCATCCCTGGAAGTGTTCAAGGCCAGGCTGGATGAGGCTTTGAGCAACCTGGTCTAGTGGAAGGTGGCCCTGCCCATGGCAGGGGGGTTGGAACTAGATGGTCTTTAAGGTCCCTTCCAACCCAAACCGTTCTGTCATTCACTCTAGAAACAACCTTGTAAGTAACCTTAGGAAATACTAGACAAGAAAGTACAAAATTTGGGTATATATTCAAAACCACACATTTTCATCCAAGTCTGAAACTCAGCTTTTAACAACATCACCTAAATCTTTCTGCTTCCGAAGTTAGGAGATGCCAAGTATAATTTTCTTGCAGATACCCATACTAATACAACCACATGGATCAAAAATGATTAGCTGAACATTTTCAAATACAACAGAAGTCGGTAAGAAGAAAAGAGGTTCCAGTATATTACTTCTCTTTCCTGATGACTGCCACACGTTTTATTTAAAAAAAAAAAAAGTTTATATCCACATGACTGAGGCTTATGATCTGCACAGGTAATTAGATACTGGATAGACACCATCACGGTTACATGTGTTTCCCATCTTGACGCTCAAGAGCCTTTTGTGTAGCAAACCTCTGGACCTCTACAAACGTGTGCATTGATGTTATTTATGTAAAAGTAATTACAAACAAATACAATTTATAAACAACGATGTCATATTAACTAATCATAGTAGAAGTCAAAAGAACACTGGCTATAGCCATTGTTCTATGTGCTTATTACTTTCCTGGTTTTTTACAGATGCTTTTATCTTAGCAGATGACCTTGGCAAGCTTTATAAACATCTAATAATATGTTTGGAATCTCTTAAGCTTATAAACTCAGCGAATGAGATTCAAAATTGAACTAGATGTTGTGCATACATACACTCAGAGTAACGAAGATGTGTTAGTATCCTACACTGAAGATACAATTTTTTAAGTAATAGCACAGCAATGAAATTTTCTCAAAATGTTTACCTATTTTGACTCTTCCTCTTTCAGGACCTTCACCCATTACCAGAATGTTTGCTGGTTTCTGGAAAACAAAAAGCAGAAGATTTAGTTGACCAGCCTTCGATGATTATCTTCAAGAATAATAAAAATATGTACAGTTATTTTATAATTAAAACATTTCTATAAATACCCTTAAAAGTGAAAAATCACCATACCTTCATGTTTTGCTGACATTTAGTTTTTATTCCTAGTTACCAATTTTACAATTAGAAAAATAGTAAAGTACTTTGACATTTCACAGTGCAATCCTTAATTAAATTTGCATTTCCATTTTTACCAGAATGATCACGTTCATTGGCAAGATTTTCTTCTACGTAAAAACTTTGTACCAGGCTAACATTTATGCCGAACATCAATAATCTGGCGGCGAGAACTATTTTTGCTCGTATAACTTACTGAAAATGATGCCAAATCTTGGCAGGCAAATGTATAGAAGAGAGTTGGCTTTGTTACCATCATATATAGGTATATTTTTAGAGCTGTGCTTGTTTTTAGTGTATGAATGATTAAAATCCCATTGGCAAAAGCATTTTTTTCCCACAAAGTAAGCTGATTTCATGCTACAAGAATTCACGTAAAACAGGAGTATAGTCAGACAGCTACATCCACAAGCTTTTGAGAGTGCAGACAGCAGCTTTACAAGTAGAACAAGACCTTTAGAGTAATTTTGTGCAATCTGCAGTTGTTTGCAACCAGCCTTGTGAACACCATATGAAATCTGCACATGACATCACAGCAATTGTTCTGCAATTAGGATCTAGGTTCCCTCAGACATCAATAGTCATTCCTTGGAAGCTTTTCCCCTATTGTGTTAACAGCTGTAAAACAGTAAACAAGATTGAAAACATCGAGTGATTTCAATGAAGAGATGCATAACAACAGTTTCAAAGCAGAATTTTTGGAAGGTTTAGCCAAACATTTATTATATTTGAAAACCCTAATGCCTGAAGAGGTCAGTTTAAGCGGGATTTGTTCAAGAATCTGAAAGAGATGTCCAGAAAGCCAACATCCGAATTTCACCTTATTTCTCAGTTACTAACGTCTGCCACTATTTACCTGAAATGAGACACTCAAACTAGCGTTACTAATTTGGCTCAAAATTGCAAATCCCTAGCCTTTTTGAAAAACCCCACCAAGCCAAAAAAAACCCACCACTTCACCTATCCTTTCTCCTTCCCCCCCAGAAGCTGTTCTCCTTTCCCACCTCACCCCCAGTGCTAGACTTTGATTCTTCCCTGGCTCCAGCTACAGCTTTTCTTTCCAGATGCTATTGCCTCATTTACTCCTCTTTTTTAAATTTCAGGATAATTCTCAACTCCATCCCTAACTTCTCATTCTCCAACATATTTTTGGAACTCTTCAGGCAGGAACATGCACCCTTCTCTTGGAGAACGCAATAGCTATTTTAATTGATCTTACGTAAACACTCACTAGCAAATCTAGGAAAGTTAAAAGATGATGCTTGCTCTTAGCTAATATTTTAATGATAATGGAATCAGCACGTCGTGGCAACTGGTCAAACTCCTGTTCTACATTTCAGTACTACCCTGAATTGAATATTCTGGAGAACAGAATAATCCCATCCCTCATACTCAGAAACCAGGCAGCAAGGGAAGCATGCAAGTTCACACTGCATCTTACCTCTGTTAGAAATCACACGGATAAAATTTCCCAATGAAGACAGCAAGATTCCACCTTCCTTGTTGGAATTCTTCCCTAAACTCCTGTCTAACAACCTTGATTGAGAGCTGAATATGAATCAAAACCACTTCAACAGACCTTTACACTCAGGATTGGATTTTAGGCACTATACAATGCATTTATTTGTCAAGTGAATAGAGCTGATAAAAATTTAGTTATTGCACTGATTTCTAGGTTAGGGTTTTTTTCTATAGTAGAATTATGTTGTAAGAAATATACTGTATAGCCATTGGCATGAGAGATCCTCAGAAAAATAGGTAATGAATGTTTCCATCATGAGGTGAAAGGACTGCTAAAGCGAATGCAAACAACTTCTGCTTTTTGGAGAAAGGAGAACGTGTTAGTCTAATCTCTGGATATGCAAGATTTTAAGTATCAAAGCATTTTACTCAGATATAATCACTTAAGAGTCTACTACTATATAATTACAGTCCACTATAACATAGTTGCTGGACAGCTGCAAAACTCAGACTAAAAAGTGGGAATCGGAGAAATTAAAAAGCCCCATACCTCATGTATGTTCAGCCTATATGCAAATTATAAGCACCAGTCTAGTTCCTAAACAAATCTTATTGCTGTTCACATGATAAAGAAAATGAGGGTTTAGGTGGAAGAAAACATGAAGGCCCAAGCAGCTAAAAGACCAAAAGCTGATACATACTTAGAGTAAATCATGCCTCTTTCCAAGAGAACAGAATTTTATTCAAGGAAGTTTGAGAAGACCAGCTTAAAATCATTAACTAAATCCTTAGTAAAGGGTGAGGTATCTTCAAAGACTACACTCAGAGCCAGTTACATCCCAATTAATAATAGCCCCTCTATTTTCCTCAAACTCGCCCTTTGCTGAGAACACAAAACACCAGCTGGGAATCAAAGCGATGCTGCTGCGTCTCCACCTATCTAGTTGCTATAGAAACCACAGAAACAGTAAGAGTTAGGAGTCTCACATTTAAAATCAGCTATAAAAATGAACAGAAAAATCCCTGAAGATAAATGCAGATGAGGTTTCACGGTCTAAATACATACGAAAAGAGCAAGGTCAACAGCAACAAACAACTAGAGCAAAAACCTAAAATATCTAAAAAAAGGGATGCAGATGGCAATAATTTAATGGGTTCTTTCCAAGTAATAAGCATGGATAATATATTTACTTTTCTACATCAGTTGGAAAATGGGAATAAAGCAATTAACAGATCTTGGTGGGAGAGAAATGAAAATGTTGGGATAGCAAGTATGTTTTCATAAATAATAGAAGTATCATGAATGGGACTCATGGACGTTCATGTTATCTTAATCAATATGCTCCTTATTTAAATATTTAGATAGTAGATTAGAAGCAAAGCTGAAGGAAAAGAACCATCTATGTTTCTGAAAGAGCATAACAGGTCAAAACAGGAACAACAGCCTAACAATAGATGGCAATACTTTAGTTTTAAGGGTTATTGTTGCTATCTCCTCAAGTACAGTGGTGACACAATTCTTCAGAGATCTGGTGCAGAATTACATTCCTGTGAGAAAACGTCCATAGGGACATACCACTTTCCATACACCATTCTTTATTGTTTATATCCAAACAAATCTGTTTCCCTTTTGGAATGTATCGCTGGCCAAATAATAATCTGAAATTAAGGGGCTTCTATTGTAAAAGATATTGCAAGTCTCTTAGATGAAAGCTCTCCCCACAATTAAAGAAACTGGCTTGTGATGAGGTCTTTTCAAGTCTCAATTCTTTAAAAAGGCAATTGTAAACAGCGCAGTGTTGATACATAGATATGCTTCCAATTCACAAGCCAAGAAAGAGTAGTGGTGATTCCGTCTTAGCTTTTAGCACACCACTCTACAAATGACAAAGATCCTAAATTAGATGAGTATCCCACTCCGCAGGCACTGCTCAAAAAAACACTGAGACACTATGTTCAAGATTAAGAGGGAGCTGCAGACTGTTCATAGAAATTTGCAAATGAAGCTTTTGTTCGTCTCACCCATAAGGAAATGTAGGCACTTTCCTGTCCTAAGTCACTGCTACTCAAATCCAGACACTGTTTTCAGATCAATGATTGGCATGCTGGCACTAAGGCTTTTGATGACAACTGACCTAATTAATGCAGGATTTAGAAAAGAAATGGTTCTAAAAAGATTTGACTATGCACGGCAAGCCTCCGAATCATTATTACTTCCATTCATGTTACTTTATATACTGAAAAACATAGAGAAAATTTGTTATCATCACTTCTCCCTCCTTTTTTAGAAAACCGTTTGGTCAACATTCTTCTGATACTGAAGCACTAGACAAAAGTATACCATACCGAGTAAGATATTGTCACATCTTTACAAGCCTTACATACTGTAAACTCAGAATCACTGCTCTGATTAGACAGCATCACTTTCAATTTGGTTTTTTTAGCTGTTATCCTTAACTTTACAAAAAACCCTACTTCATTACTTTTTCACACAGATCTGTAAATACATACAATTTTCTTTTACTATTTGTCTACTCCGTTAAAATGTTTGACCTTGCAAACCAGTATCATTAACAAATCTCATCAATATGTTTACTATTTAACTCAAATCAATAACGTTTCTAGAGATACTACCAAGTAGCAATGCCAAAAATAAAGCTGATTACTACAGCACATGATCTAAAAAGGAAGTAAAATCACAAGGAATGCAAAATACTTTGAAATAGCACATCATTCAAATGAAATAAAAACTTGTTTGCATCCAGAAAGGAACTAAAAAACAGAGGCAGATACATTAAGTAAATATATGACAACACAGGAAGCAGAGAGTATCAAAGATGACTTTTATAGCTAAATTAAGGAAAAAACAAAACAAAACAAAAAAAAACCCCACTAAAAACCCAAAACAAGAGTCCAATAGTTTTTGCAATAAAACTGAAAATACAAATGCAGACATGTAAAATTTTACAGAGAAGTAACACCAGATTGTCATCCTTAAATTTGAAAATGTACTTGATAATCATCAGAGGAACATCAGTGACAACAACAAAAAAACCCCACATTTTCAAATGTAGTTGTAGCATGTAGGAAACTACATTTAATGCATATAAACATATTCATTCATATGAAATAATACAGACATGGTAACTATTTTTATCTCCACTCTTGCTTTTCATAAAAATAATTTAAAATGAAACATATACAGAACTGATAAAGACATGGAAGTGTGTGCCACTTTTGAGAGGAAAAGACCTCTAATACCATAATTCTGAAAGATGGGAACTGGATATTCCATCATAAACCACAGTGTCAGATTACATTAAGACTTATATATTTCATAGCTGCCAAACTGATACTGTCA